GTCATGGGATCCCCTGAAGCCAAGTCAGACAGAAGTGTATCTTGGAGACCCACTACTTGCCATTGGTTCTGGAAGTGGGGGGCAGTCTTGTGGGAGTGAGCCCTTTACCTGTGGGGGTCTGTGCTAACTCTGTGCAGTGTCAAAACTGCAGGACACTCGCTTGGTATCCACAGAACACTGGAGAATTGCTTGGCTTGGAAACTGCACACATTTGGTGTCAGAAGTGCTGTGAGTACAGAAACATTTTCCTTTACCAGCCATCCATTCAAAAAATGTGTTTGAGTGGCTTCCATGGATTGGCACTATTTTGGGCACTGGGGTTACAGCAGTGACCAGAACAGATAAAATCCCTGCTTTTCTGTGATGCTTATGTTCTGGTTAGGAAGATAGATAATAAACAGGTTAACAAATGATGAAGATGTCATGTGATAATAAATGCTAAAAAGAACAATGAAGGATGATAGGTGGGGAGAGACTGGTGGAGACAGGGTATATTGTTCTACATGAAGTAGTTAGGAAAGGATTCTCTCCTAAAATGGCATTTGATTGGAGACCAGAGATGAAAGTGAAGGACAGAGCCATGTGGATATCTGAGTGGAAAATCCAGGTTGACCCAATGCCAAGTGTAAAGACTCAGGATGGTTCTTAGTGCTACCAGAGCATCCAAGTATCTTTTGCCCATTCCATTCACTCTCCCGTAGAACTATTTCATATCTTTTCCTCTCTCATCAAATCTCCAAAAACTTCTTGCCTTTTTTTTTTTTTTTTGTCCTCCATGCCTAACTTCACTTGCCATTTCACCGGGGAAATACAAACAATCATAAGAGACTCCTATAGTTACACAAACCAATTTACTTGTATCTTTGCCATTATCCCATGGATTCCCTCCTATTACTATGGATGAACTATCTGTGCTTAGGAGGTCATACTCTCCCTTTTTGCACTAGAACTCACCTTCTTTCTCCTACTCAAAGAAATGGGTCCACAAATTTTCCGTTCTTTTTATTTTTTCTTCTGTATGAATTGTTTCTTCTCAAACTGAATTAATGTGTCGATACAAATATCCTAGTAATTTTCCCAACTTAAAAATAAGTCCTACATTAACTTCGTTCTGTCCCATTTTCTGCATACTTTATAACAGAATGCCTCAAAAGAGTTAGTGATTATCACTGTCTTTAACTCTTTTTCATTCATTCTTGAACTGACTTTAGGTATTTACCTCCACAACTCTGCTGAAATAGCTCCTGCTGGGGTCCCCACTGACCTCCATCTTGTTAAAACCAGTTGATTCTCATTTTATCTGAACTATTACCACCATTTGAAGTAGTTGATCACTCTCCCCTTTTTGAAACACATTCTCTAGTAGCTTCTAGGACACTAAAACCTTTTGGTGTTCTTCCTAAGCAAAGTAGAAATCCTTGGTAGTCTTTGCTGACTTTTAAAAAATTTTTAATTCTTTTTTTCAGTGTTCCAAAACTCATTGTTTATGCACCACATCCAATGCTCCATGCAATACAGGCCCTCCTTAATACCCACCACCAGGTTCACCCAACTCCCGACCACCCTCCCCTCCAAAACCCTCAGTTTGTTTCTCAGAGTCCACAGTCTCTCATGGTTTGTCTCCCCCTCCGATTTCCCCCAACTCGCTTCTCCTTTCCAACTCCCAACATCCTTCATGTTATTCCTTATGATACACAAGTAAGTGAAACCATATGATAATTGACTCTCTCTGCTTGACTTATTTCACTCAGCATAATCTCTTCCAGTCCCGTCCATGTTGATACAAAAGTTGGGTATTCATCCTTTCTGATGGAGGCATAATATTCCATTGTATATATGGACCATGTCTTCTTTATCCATTCGTCTGTTGAAGGGCATCTTGGTTCTTACCACAGTTTGGCGACTGCGGACATTGCTGCTATGAACATTTGGGGGCAGATGGCCCTTCTCTTCACTGCATCTGTATCTTTGGGGTAAATTCCCAGTAGTGCAATTGCAGGGTCATAGGGTAGCTCTACTTTTAATTTCTTAAGGAATCTCCACACTGTTTTCCAAAGTGGCTGCACGAACTTGCATTCCCACCAACAGTGGAAGAGGGTTCCCCTTTCTCCACATTCTCTCCAACACTTGTTGTTTACTGTCTTATTGATTTTGGCCTTTCTAACTGGTGTAAGGTGGTATCTCAATGTGGTTTTGATTTGACTCTCCCTGATTGCTAATGAAGATGAACATTTTACCATGTGTCTGTTAGCCATTTATAGGTGTTTTTGGAGAAGTGTCTGTTCATGTTTTCTGCCCATTTTTTGACATGATTATCTGTTTTGTGTGTGCTGAGTTTGAGGAGTTCTTTATAGATCTTGGATATCAGCCCTTTGTTTGTAGTGTCATTTGTGAATATCTTCTCCCATTCCATGGGTTGCCTCTTTGTTTTGTTGACTGTTTCCTTTGCTGTGCAGAAGCTTTTGATCTTGAAAAGTCCCCAAAATTCATTTTTGCTTTTGTCTCCTTTGCCTTTGGAGACATGTCTGGAAAGAATTTGGTGTGGCCGATGTCAAAGAGGTTACTGCCTATGTTCTCCTCTAGGATTTTGATAGATTCCTGCCTTATGTTGATGTCTTTTATCCATTTTGAATTTATCTTTGTGTATGGTGTAAGAGAATGGTTGAGTTTCTTTTTTTTATACCTAGCTGTCCAATTTTCCCAGCACCGTTTATTGAAGAGACTGTCTTTTGTCCACTGTATTTTTTTTTCCTGCTTTGTCAAAGATTATTTGACCATAGGGTTGAGGGTCCATATCTGGGCTCTCTATTCTGTTCCACTGGTCTATGTGTCTGTTTTTGTGCCAGTACCATGCTGTCTTGGTGATCACAGCCTTGTAGTAAAGCTTGAAATCAGGCAACATAATGCCCCCAGTTTTGTTTTTCTTTTCTAATACTTCCTTAGCAATTTGGGGTCTTTTCTGGTTCCATACAAATTTTAGGATTGTTTGTTCCAGCTCTTTGAAAAATGCTGGTGCAATTTTGATCGGGATGAAAGTTTACATTACATTGAAACTATAGATTGCTCTAGGCAGTATACACATTTTAACAATGTTTATTCTTCTGATCCATGAGCATGGAATGCTCTTCTGTCTTTTTGTGTCTTCTTCAATTTCTTTCATGATTGTTCAGTAGTTCCTGGAGTACAGATCCTTTATCTCTTTGGTTAGGTTTATTCCCAGGTATCTTATGGTTCTTGGTGCAATAGTAAATGGAATCGATTCTCTAATTTCCCTTTCTATATTTTCATTGTTAGTGTATAAGAAAGCAACTGATTCCTGTAAACTGATTTTGTATCCTGCCACATTACTGAATTGCTGTATGAGTTCTAGTAGTTTGGGGGTGGAATCTTTTGGGTTTTCCATATAAAGTATCATGTTATCTGCAAAGAAAGAGAGTTTGACTTCTTCTTTGCCAATTTGAATACCTTTTATTTCTTTTTGTTGTCTGATGGTTGTTGCTAGGACTTCTAGTAGGATGCCCCCAGAAGGTAGTCCACTGATATCTTTCCTTCTCTACTCTCTTGGTAATCTTATTCTGTCTAATTTCAAATCCATTTCAATGCTGAGCTCTCCCAAATGTGTATCTCTTATCCAGACCTCTCCTCTGAATTCCAGGCTCAGTCAACGGCTTACTTGACTTCTTTACTTGCATGTCTCAAAGACATCTTTATCCAAATATGTGCAATACTGAGCTCCTTATAAGTTCCTTTAACCTGTTCAACCTTGCAGTCTTCTCTATTTAGTAAGTGGTAACTCCATCCTTCCAGTTGCACCGACTTCATCATCCTTGACTCTTCTGTTCCTTCATAACCTTTATTCAACCTTTCAGTTCTTTCAAGTTCTACTTCCAACTACTTTCTGCCAGATTTACTCAACCACCTTGGCCCAAGCTAAACCATCTCTTGCCAGGATACTGTACTAGTTTTCTAATTGCTCTTCCTGTCTCCATCATTAGCTCCTGACAATCTATTCTCAACCCAGCATCCAGAATCATCTATTGGGAAGATATGCCAGAACAAGCCATTCTCTTATCAAAACTCTTTTAATGGTTTCCTGTCTCTCTCAAATTAAAATTTAAAGTCCTTAACAAAGGACTGAAAGGTCCTGCATCATTTGGCGCCTGCTATGACCCTGACTTCATCTCCATCTACTCTCCTCCTTGCTCACTGCATTCTAGCCATACTGGCTTGCTCACTATTCCTTAGGACACCATGCACACTCTCAGGTCTTTTCCACTTTCTATTCCTTCCAGCTGGAGCACTCTACCATCAGAAGGCATCAAAGGCTCCCTCATCTCCTCTAGGCCTTTCCCAAATATCATTTTCTCAGTAAGTCCCACCCTTGACTGCTCTATTTAAAATAGTAATTCACCCAACCCATTCTGGCACTTCTTATTCTCCTCCTCACTTTATTTTTCTCTTCAGTATGTATCACTCATCTTAGACATTATATTTTCACTTATTTATTGGCTGTTTCTTTCTACAAGTATATAACCTCGACAAGCGCTAAGATGTATCTTTTTTCTCATTGCTATATCCTTGAAAGAAAGTGCCTAGCATGTAAGAAGAACTCCATACTTATTGAATGAGTGACAAGAAAGTTTAAATAACTTTTTTTGAGTAATTTTGCTATAAAACAGTGGACAGAAATGGACAGCAGGTGGGATAAGGTGAGATTTAATTTTTAAGATGTGTAATATTACAGAATACTTATATGTTAATAGAAATGATCCAGCAGAGATAGAAAATTTGATAATATAGGAGAAAGGGGGAAATCTGTGTGAATCATATTGTTAAGTAGGCAATAAGAGATAACACAACAGGAGGGACTGGCCTTAGAGGAGGGCAAAGACAGTTTATCTATAGAAACAGGAGAAAAGACAAAGAATATAGATAAAATAAAAATAAAGAAGGTAGGTGGGATCTTATAAAATTTCTGATTGCTTCTAATTTCCTCATAGGCTATTTCCTTTCTGCATCGGATGAGATGAAAAACGAGAAGAGGCATCAGAGATTTGAGAAACAAGGAGAAGGTATGAAATGATTCTCTGGAGAGTAGGGATGAGGATTAATTAGGAGAAGGCAATAGGATCACCAGGCACACAGTTAGTTGTCATGAATTTCAAATGAGACCAGTCAGCATGCGAGTGCGTGTTCCAGCCACGTTCAGGTACACATTCAGGAAGGTACAGAGTTGGCTTTAAGCAGGACTGGCACTTTACCATGCAAATATGAAGCAGTAAGGTTCTTGATGGCATATGTGATATAGTAATTATAATGATAGACCATGAGATCTAGGCTAGGTAAGATGGGATGTGAGGGTAAGGGAGTGAGGGTAGAGTAGGTTAGAGGCTTTGTTAAGGTGGTAAGGTAAATAAACTGGCCAGTCTAGCAAGTTTGAAGACTTTTTAATTTGGGGAATAGGTCACAAAGATAGGAGCTGTTGGTAAGAGAAGACATTTCAAAAGGGGATTATGTAAGGATGCGGTTATTGGCAGTAATAAAGTCAAAGGTGTGTGTGACTACAGGGGTGCTTGGCTGAGATGAAGTGGAAGGTATTCTTACTGGAGAAGAGGTCAAGAATTTAGAGGCCAGGATATAAGGAGGATCAATTATGTGAAAATTGAAAAACACCAAGAATTAATCTAAGCATACTATTAAAAAAAAGATAATGGGAAGGTGCTAACATTTTTTGGACTCAGAGAGTAACCTTGGGTTCTACTGATAATTACAGTAAGAAGCGGTAGCTGGACATATAGGTATATTGGCATAACCTCCAAAGGAATGAAAATATTTTATAAAGAAGGCATGGGAGATGATCTGGAATTGGTAATGAGGTGCTAGAGAGACACCTTACCCCATTTCAAGGCTCAGTGATATGAAAGACACCTGTAGCAGAAACATGAATTGGAGGACAGGTTTCAGTTGGAGCAAGAGGGTGAAGGGGGACATTCTGAGAAGAGGTCAAGAATACAGAGAACTGAGATTCCATCAGTAAAAATGGCCTTTACCAGCTACTGCACCTGAACACTTAGAAATCTCCATTTTCAAGATATGATTTTAAAGAGACAATTCAATTTTCTGCAGTTGTATTAGTTTCCTCAGCTTCTCTAACAAAATACCGCAAACTAGGGGGCTTAAAACAACAGAAATTTGTTGTATAGCTCTGGAAACTATAAGTCTGAAATCAAGCAAGGCCAGGCTCCCTCTGAAGTCTGTAGGGAAGAATCCCTTTTTGCCTCTTCCAGCTATGATATCTGCCATCCAGCAATCCTTCGTGTTCCTGGCTTGTCTGCACATTCCTCCAATCTCTGCCTCATCACAACCTGCCATTCTCCCTCTGGGTCTGACATCTCTTCTTGTAAGGACACCAGTATTGGATTTAGGGCCCACCCTGCACCAGTATGACTTCATCTTAAATAATTATATCTGCAATGACCCTATTTTCAAATAAGGTCACATTCTGATGTTCTAGGGGTTAGAACTTCAACATATCTTTTGGGAGTACACAATTCAATCCAAACCAGGATGATAGGAAAACACTACAGCTTTTGCGGAATGTGTTCTAATTTAAGTTGCACAGGTTTTTGTCCTGTGCAAAAGTGAAGCCTGGTAATTCAAGTGTTTAAGGAATGACCTTGCTTTGTGAAACACATGACAACCCTAACAGACAAAAAGCATTATATGCCATGCATGTGACGTAAGGTCATGTTACACAGACGTATCTATTGATGCTGTGTGATGATGTCATTGAACCTATTGGGACAGCCTAATGAGTTAGCTCAGAGGGGAAGCATTAAACTTTGAAGTTGAAGGTCTTGGGGCCTCTTTCACTATTTTTGTAGATCTATTGTTTAAAATGTTGAACCAACTAAAGCTCACTAGCCTCTGTGTCTAAGAGAGGGAGAAAGTTTGCAACAGTGTGATGTCATCATGTTAAAGAGCTGGGAACATTTCTTGTTATGGCTGGAAATGGGCAGGAGAAGGAGAAAAGAACTCATCTGGTTCTGTAGTTATGAACTGAAACAGGGTCCGAGAGATTCCAGACTCTGAGATACTCAAAGGGCTATCCTAGGTCACAGCCCCATAGTTGTAGCTGTGGCTTCTCCCCAGTCATCTTGAAAGAGTCACAGGAAGAGACGACACTCTTCTGCAATGGAGAAAACCTGTACCACATAACCATGGTGCTTTCCATTAGTCTTCTGAGGGCCCTCAGACTGGCCTGGATCCTGTGCCTGTTGAGGGTTGCCCCCTCAGAAATCATGATCCAAGGTCTCAGAAAGAACACCAAGGGGTGATCCTAGCTCCTTACATTGAGTGAGCAGTTGGGCACATACCAAGACTTCTCTTCCAAGTGAATGCAAATCAATATTCACTTCAGTATTAATGTGACTCACTGCAAATTCTGAATTGGTAGAATCCAAATTAATGAGGTTTGTTATGCTGAGCAAAGTGATCTGATGATTTGACTCCTCCTAACCTTGTCAGCATGGAGCCAGCATTTCAGAAGGGATGGGGAAGCTGAGGTTTATTACTTGAAGGTAATGTCTTTCATGAAAGATGCAGAATCTAACTGCTTAGGAGGGCATCTCTCCCTCTCCACTTCCTGCACAGCTTGTAAGAAATGAAGTCCCTCACACTATTACTCTAATTGAATTCCAACTTGGGTAATTACACTATAATTAAATAAATTTTCCCCATAGTTTTAATTCTCTGACAAATAGTGCTAGTCAAACAGCTACATTTCACACCCAGAAACGATCCCCAACTCCATTTCAGTGATGAGTGGAGTGATTTATACTTGGGAAATGTTGCGTATGAAAAATGCACAGTTCATAAAATATTTTAGGTATCATTCATGATTACATATGCTTTTCTCAGCATGAGATAACATTAATTTCTATTACAATCTTTCATCTAATTTCTCATATGCTTATCGCCAAAAGAAATAAGACAGTTAATTAGCAGTTCTCATTCTCAGAACAATTTTTGTTTAGTTAACCAGTGGCTGGCATTTTTTATGTCTGAAGCGCATTTCATTTTCCCTGGCATACAGCCTAGGTAGGTGTTATTGCTTCCCATTTGACAGATGGAAGAATTGAGGCAGCATTCCCCAGAGTAAGAGAGCCAGTTACTACAAGCCTTGGGACCTAAGTTTTCTCTGGTCCTCTGGTCCTTGGTTCTTTCTATCAAAAACTGGGTCACTAGCAATCACTTCAGTTCTACTAATGAGAAAAGAGAGAGCATATATCTGTGACCTATGTTGCAGGTCATTAATTTGCAATAATTAATGATTTAGCCCTAGAGTCAGAAGCCTAATAACTGGGCTCTGATGCCGTCCTTGGATCATGAGACCACAGAGATCCTTTATGTCAACATGTTATTATTTGGTACAGTTCAACTGGAAGAACAAAATGTGACGCAAAGTGGTGCAAAAGGATTCAAATGTCCCTTTCATCCTAATGCCCTTTCCTAAAGGGTTGTAGATGGCTTTTAATAAAAGATATTAAAGACAACATCAAAATACTCACAAAAAGCAGCAGTAGCAGGGGTGTTATAACGATGCCCTGAAAGAAATAAAAGAGATGATGATCATTTATCAGCCTGGAAAGCAGGACACTTTTTTTGCCATTTTAAACTCTGATGCATGGAAATGTTGATCCTTCTCACCTCCGCTTCATAAAATCTAGGTGATAAAGATGAGGGAGCCCCAGTCTTGGCTCTCCCTACCATAAAGCCTTAGCATCTCTATACAATTATTTGTATTTGGTGCTGTTAAACGTACCATCACCAATCTTCCTTAAACTTGTCTGCCCTTTTTAAAATGGAAGTTGCTTTCCATGTTGATATGTATCAGTCGGGGGAAGCTGGCAAGCCTTCTCACTCCAAGGCTTTCAACTCTAACTTGGATAAAGTGCCCCCTTTCAAGAGAAGACAGGTGGCTCAGTCCCAGTTGGGGTCCTCTCCTGAGCAAAGACCACGTCAGTTGTGATGAATGAGATGTCGTGATTTTGTAATGTGAACCGATCTCCCCTAGGAAATGAGCTGGGATCTCAAAACTCATTTCACTTGATTAGACTCCATGTCTCCATGGTGGAAGGCAAGTCTTTCATCTAATTCAGCCACACAGGACCACCTCAGTCCCTCTGCCTCCCCTAGGCAGAAAGGAGCAAAAGATTTGTTTTCTGCAATGACAGGAAACAGTTTGAGGCTGTTGTCAATGAGGCAGGATACAAGCTTTTAGGTTTCTTGAAGGTAAATCTTTAAAACTAGGTGTTTGAGTTGGGAGTTAACATGACAGGTTTCAGTTTTAGAGCTGCAGATGATTATTCGCCCCTTTTAGTTCTTGCTTTATCTCTCAATGCTTCATTATGATTTATACAAGAGAAAGCATTCTATATTTTTTTTTAATGAATTCCATTTGGAACTTTAAAATTCCAAAGAGTCTGTGTGTGTGTGTGTGTTTGTGTGTGCGTGTATACACACACATGCACGTGTATTGTGTGTGAGAGAAAGAGACAGACAGAGACTATACTGTGCCCAGGATCTAAGGTCTGGGACAACTTCGTTACATTTGGAAAAAAGTCCTTTTGATATTTATATGAAATCTTTTCATCATTACAGTAACTAATTCTTTTGGATATGGCCCAAGAGGGGCGGGCTACCTTTTATGAACATTGCTATGACTTTCTTAGGCAATATACCACATGTGATTTACACATGAAGATTCATAGATGAGTTTGTTTTATAGTTAAGTAATAGAATAAATGCTTCTTTATTGTGCAAACTTTTGCAGCTAGCAATAACGAATAAAACATTTTAAGTGTTAATTTGTTTATTAAAATATGTATTATGGCTTATCAACTCTATTGGTGTCTATGAAACAGGTTCTCATCAGCACCTTTAGGAGAGCTAAATGTGCAAAATGCCAAAGTAATTTTAAGAGCTACTGTCTTTGCTTCAATGACATGGAATATACTTAGACCTCAGAAAGAATTCCAAACTTTACAAGGCTATGTGGAAATGAAAATATCTGGCTATTTCAGTCTATGTGGGAGCTATCTGATTTCAAGTCAATTTGCTTAAACTTTTATTGCAAGTCCACTTATATGACAGGTACTGTTCCATTAATTAGAAGAATTAGTGGAAACTGATCTGGCAGAAAGGAAAACAAGGATGTTCCAGGAAGAGGGAAGGGAATTCACAAAGCTATACAAAGTTGAGCAGGGCGGGGAAGAATATATGAAGTGGAGGCATCAAAAACCAGGTCACCAAGGACCTTGTGGCCAGAAGAGGGAGTCTGAGGTTGATCTGATCAATAATGGCAAACTCCTCAAGAACATCAAGTAAAGGTACAGAAGGCGGTAAATAATTTTGTATACAGAGAAAAAATTGGACTTAGAGTATAAGCTAACCAATTTTACCTTTGTTATCTATCAATTCACCCATATCCATATAAAAGAAAGTAGAAACTTGAATTAATATTAATTGTGAAACACCAACAGCACCAATTACACTCATGAGAAACAAGGTACGGTATCTGTGATGGGATTAGAATTTTCAACTAGGATGAATGTTGAGCATCGTCACCACTCAGAGGGCATTTGTCTTATATCAGAGGAGGTGAAGCCACACTGGCACCTTATAAGTACATGGAAACCCACATTCTTCCTGGTGACCACTAATTTTCCTTTGCTGCAGTGGAATACTAAAAGTATTAGTAATAATACCAGGACTATTAATGGCATTTTGCTTCAGCACTTTCATGTAGCACATTCTTAAAATGTGGTCCTCCCCTACTGAAGGAGGTAGGTTGCATCATAGGCCCATTTTATGGATGAGGTAATAGGGGTTCAGAAAAGCTAAGCAAACAGCCCACAGCCATACAGAAAATAAGTGGCAAAGGCAAAACCTGGATTTGACTCTGCTTTGCCCACCCCCAAAGCCAGAACTTCACTTCAGTGACTATGCCACTGTCCTGGGTGTCAAGTTTCAGCAATCAGTACAGTTTTCGACAGAGTTCTGCTTCAGACATGTATATAGTGACTAGCTGCTGTATGATCTTGCTCTCAAGGTGATAACCAATTCTTTTTTTTTTTTTTTAAGATTTTATTTTTTTGACAGACAGAGATCACAAGTAGGCAGAGTGGCAGGCAGAGAGAGACGAGGAAGCAGGTTCCCCGCTGAGCAGAGAGCCCGATATGGGGCTCAATCCCAGGACCCTGGGACCATGACCTGAGCAGAAGGCAGAGGCTTTAACCCACTGAGCCACCCAGGCGCCCCGGTGATAACCAATTATTAAAGATGACGCTATTTTGGAATGCAGAGCGCTATTATCTGCAGGTTTTCCTGCCTGAATATTTCAAGTGTATAGTTGAACACAATAGCTTCTTTGCAATTCTTCTAAAGATTTAATGATATTTGTTCCTAAAATATTAAAAATTTCCTGGCAAATAGGATGTGTTTTCTAATTCTGGATTCAAGATTCCTCATTATTTTCTTAAAAATGTTTATTCAATTTCGTTAATTAAGAATGAATTGTTAGGGGTGCCTGGGTGGCTCAGTGGGTTAAAGCCTCTGCCTTCGGCTCAGGTCATGATCCCAGAGTCCTGGGATCGAGCCCCATATCGGGCTCTCTGCTCGGCAGGGAGCCTGCTTCCTCTTCTCTCTCTCTCTCTCTGTCTGCCTGCCTCTCTGCCTAATTGTGATCTCTATCAAATAAATAAATAAATAAATCTTAAAAATAAAAGAATGAATTGTTATACTGTGCTGAAATCTGTTTTTCAATTGTACTAGGAAAGGAGTCAGCCACAATGCCCTTTATCGTGACAAGAACACCATTAAGTTTTAGCGCAGTCATTACAATAATTGTTAAAATACTAATAGCCAACATTTTTGGAGTGCTTATCTCACATCAATGATGTGCTAAGGACTTCATGAATGTTATCTTATGGAACTCTCACAACAACCATATGGGGTAGGTACTATTATTATCCCCATCTCCTACAGAAGGAAACTACGTCTCAGAGATATAGAGTGACCTAGGAAGAGGCGATGCCGGGAATTCAATCTCTGTCTCCCTGATTCCACAGCCTGGGAGCCTGAATGGTATAAATAAAATCTTTGTAGTCTTACCCTATTTCCTCAGGGTTGTATTTTTAGAGTAAACCTGAGAGGAGCTTCAAACTCAGTATGTCTTTTTGATGACATGAAACAAATTGAGAGATCAGCCTTTGTGTGACACGGTTGATACATTTTTTTTAAGTCAGGTTTTTACAAAATCGATGGTAAAAAGGGTGAGCTGAAATGTAAACTGTAACAGCAACAATCACTAGGAGATGGAAAGTCAGACAAACATATTCTTTTCTCTTGGGTATAGAGAAGGCTCAATTTGATTGTCTCTTTTCTCTTCCCCAGTAAATCCTATGTAAATGGATAAAATCAAAGAGGTGGTAGATGAGCACTTCTAGCAAAGATGTTACCCCTCTGCTTGCAGATTCAAGGTCAAGACATAGTTTTAACATCCTTGCAATTGGGATGGAGTGCTAAGCTTTCTGATTGCAACACCTGAAGAAGACAAGTCACAAAGTGACTGGCTTTGATTGGCTCTTAAAAAAGCCTTCAGAAAATCCATTTACACCTCTGATGTGAATAACTGGGTGAATATATTTCAATGGCTTCAGTGGGAAGGAAAAAAAAAGTGTCAAATCTCAGACACTGAGATTTAGTCACAATACAAGCCCCCCCAAACCCCCAAATAACAACAAAAACAACAACAAAACTGTAAATGTACCTCTCAGCGGTAATGTTAGTTAAAAAGGCAAAACTTAAGTGAATTATCATTTTTTAAAAATAGGAAATGTTGTCAAAAGACTTTGCTGCAACAACTATTGTGATCACACAGAAACCAAAATTGACTTCTTAGGTGTCTGTCTCTAGGATGTTGAATGTTAAGGCTTGGAAAAGGTGCTTTTTATTTTTTAATTAAAAGGCAATCACTTAATTTTTACAGAATAACAGAAACTCCTCTGAAGTGTGACCCCCCTGTCTCCCTCACTTGCTCACCAGTGAGGTGAGGCTATGATGGCTACGCTTTCGAGGGAGAACCCACAGAGAGGCAATGTTCTTCTGAAGGCACACACTGACCTTTCACAACAGAGAAGCTCTCTTTTCAATGATCCCAAACTGTCTCCACAGTCGCCCTGCCTTCCCCTTTGGAGCAACTTAGGGCACATCTCACCCCTCCTGTCTTGGGATGGCCTTTTAATTGCTGCTTTTGAGTGGTGTAAATAAAATCTCTGCACTCTTCAACTATTGCCTCAAGCCTACAATTTAAAAATAATGCCGAGATGAGCATTTGGGGGCCCACACTAAGTCTTTTTCAGGCTAAAGGTCATTAGGCAGCCCCCTCAACATGACTCCCCGAGGGTAGGGCTCTGAGGCTCCTCTTAGACCTAATCTCCTTCAGGTGAACCTAAGAGCACATAGCACTCATTTCTTTCTTTCTTTCTTTTTTTTTTTATTTCTTTTCAGTGTAACAGAATTCATTGTTTATGCACCACACCCAATGCTCCATGCAATACGTACCCTCCATAATACCTACCACCTGGCTCCTCCAACCTCCCACCCCCTGCCCCTTCAAAATGCTCAGATTGTTTTTCAGAGTCCATAGTCTCTCATGGTTCATCTCCCCTTCCAATTTCCCTCAACTCCCTTCATAGCACTCATTTCATGACAATTGAGCAAAACTTGGAGCTTTCATCCTGGAGCACTAACAGGCCAATCCAAGGATTATTTAATTACCTGGAGGGATATACTTCTGTTTGACTTTTATTTACTAGTAATTCAGGCTCAGAAATTACATGCTAACTTATACAGTATCGCCCATTAGATACAGAAATAATTTCTGTCTAGTAGAAAAAAAAAGATGACAAAGGTTATGGTCTTACTACCCTATAGGTATTAGCCAGTTTTGTCCTTAACCTAGTGAACTTATTTTGGTATTCTTTTCTGATGGACTATGTAATCCCTACTTCTTTTTTTTTTTTTTTAAGTTTTATTTATGGGGGGGGGGAGGAGGGACACAGGGACAAAGAGAATCCCAAGCAGACTCCCTGCTGAGCAACTCCCCCTCACTGCCCCAACACAGGGCTCAATTCCACAACCTTGAGATCATGATATGACCCAAAACCAAGAGTCAAATGCTTAACTGAGGTACCCAGGCGCCCCTATAATCCCCATTTCTATAACCTCTTAGAAATCAACTTTACCATCCTGCTGGTTCCCCTATTATTCAGTTAAATAAATGTGTGACATGAGCTCATTTTGTATTTGTAAGAAAGTCATGTTTTCAGCTTTTGAAAATTCTACTTTGACAGCTACTTTACTCTGAACCTTGCACTTTTGTTAATGCTAAGATGGCTTTTTTTTAAAAGGGATAATGCCAACTAAAACTCCCAGTTTGTCTTCACATGTTGTCCAGTAGTCAGTATACAGTGGTATCTTAAAAAGTTCAAGAGAAGGGGCGCCTGGGTGGCTCAGTGGGTTAAGCCTCTGCCTTCGGCTCAGGTCACAAGCCCAGGGTCCTGGGATCAAGCCCCGCATCGGGCTCTCTGCTCAGCGGGGAGCTTGCTTCCCCTCCTTCTCTCTCTGCCTGCCTCTCTGCCTTCTTGTGATCTCCGTCTGTCAAATAAATAAAATCTTCAAAAAATAAAAAAAGTTCAAGAGAAGCTTAGTCTTGTTGAACTAATATGTAATGAGTGAGATTGGCCAATACACCCTGAGCAATAAATTATAAAGTGGTGGTATGGTCAGGATATATGGTCTCCAGAGAATATGACCTGATAAACACGGATCTCAGAGCAAACATCAGAGTAAACTTCATAACGTAAAGAAAAAGGCATTAGGAGTAGTAGCTGGAAAGAAAGTTGTGGTTGATTGGTGGGAAAGGGCCTCTTTCCTCTTACCTGCCTACACTTTCCTCTTTAAAACTGGACCTTCACAGAGTGAATGGCTCAACACCCCCAGATTAAGCATTTCTCAGTATATTCATAGCTCTGTCAGGGGAAGAAGGTTCCTAGCAGCTGGCTCGAGCATTCTGGTGTGTCTGCCAGGCACAGGGCACTATAGTAAAGACAGTGGCATCAGACTATGGGAGCTAGATAACACCAGCCACTAAAAACATCCAGTCAGTTCTCTCTAGTCTGAGTCCATGTTTGCCAAGAAAATGTTGAAAAATAGTTTTGTTTTCCAAGTAGCATTTTTGGTAGAAAGAGAGCACGTGGGGCGCCTGGGTGGCTCAGTGGGTTAAAGCCTCTGCCTTCGGCTCGGGTCATGATCCCAGGGTCCTGGGATCGAGCCCCACATCAGGCTCTCTGCTCGGCAGGGAGCCTGCTTCCTCTTCTCTCTCTGCCTGCCTCTCTGCCTATTTGCGATCTCTATCTGTCAAATAAATAAATAAAATCTTAAAAGAAAAAAAAAAAAAAAGGAAAAGAGCACGCTGACTAGCTGACCTCAGGCTCCTAAAACACAACCATATTGAGGTGTGCTAAACACAGTGAGTTTCTGGACCTGCAGAGCTAAGGATCTATTTCTGGATTCTGGGACTCCATGGGAGCAACAGTACCTTGTGAGGCCTTGCAGGAATGACAGCTGGCTCGTCTCAGTGACATACATTTAATTAAAGAAACATTACTGAGTGCTAACCACGTATCACACATCACAGGAGCTGATGAGAAAAAGATTCCAAAGTCTCCTTAGCACAGAAAACTGCGGGCATTTTGAAGTGGACTTTTACATAAAACTCCAAAAAATAGTTTCTGTGAAGCCCCTGGCTTGTCTTTGAAGATTATCTTGGAATACCTTTATTCTTGCTTTCCTATTTTTCTTCTCCTACAACCACTGGTGGGCATTGTTTACCTCACTAATGTACTTGGTGCACGATTTATGCTATGGTTCTTGCCCATGAGGAGTTCCCATTATAGAAAGCAGTTCTACCCATCCTTCTGTAACTTTGATACTTCTGTTAAGCAACACCTCTACTGTCTTATTCCCAGAAGATTGTGGCATTTCTTTACACTAAAATGGAGGGTCTTATGTACATAGTGTTATCTTATTAGATTTGGCCTAGTATCTTCTGAGATTTTGATCTGTCACTGATAAATTCAGCAAATACCTACTTGGTGACTCCTCCGTCAGGCCCCATTAGATGAGGGATAGTGGCCCATGAAACATGTATAATGATATCCTCAGCGCTTTACAGAAGACAGAAAAGCAACCACAGTAAAACGGTGAGTGTTTAAAATTACAGTCTCAGCATGCAACAAGAGTGCTTAACAGGGAGGTGAGAGCAGTTTGATGACAACTGAAAGCTGAGTGGGAGTGGGGCACATAAAGAAGGGGCAGCCCCAGAGAAGGCGGGTGGGGAGAGAACACACAGGGAGGGAGGAGGGGCCGTACAAAGGCTTTGGAGGCAAGAAGAACACACAGCCAACTGCAGGTGAAGGGTAGAGTGTGGGGAGGGCCATGGGAGAGATGAAGCTAGAAGCCCGATGAAGCAGGAAGGTCTAATCATCCATGCTGAGGAGTGTAGCTTCATTGCAAGGCAAGGGGAAGCCACTGAGAGAATTATGGAGGCGTGGATCTAGGGGAAGGGCCTGGAGCCAGGGCTGGATGATACCCATGTTTAGGCAGAAATCAGTCTGGGTGTAATTTAGAAAAGAGGTTAAAATGGTGGGAAATTAGAAGGAGGGAGACTAATGAAGAGGCTGTTCAGTTAATCCAGGCAGAGGTGGATTTGGGCTAAGGTGACAGAAGCTTAATGATCAAGACAGAGATATTGCATCCTCAAGAAGTATTTGACATGTGGACTGGTAGATTTACTAAATATTGAGGGAGGGATGGCGATTAAAAGGATGGACAGAGGGCTTCTTCGTCTTCTAAATTAAGTGAGTTTTGGCCAAATAGGGAGGTTGTGGAGACAATTACTGAGCCACAGCAGACTTGGGATGTATGTAGATCAATTTTTCCTTAGAAGATGATGGATCTGAGAAGTCTATAAGGCCTCCATTTAGAGACACTTTAGTTGGATAGATGGGACAGAAGCTCAGTCTAGGGTGGACAGTGGCTACAGATGGGTGAGTCCTCACCATACAGTCAGTGGCTTACTATGACAGAGAAGGAAAGACATTCAGGAATACAGAATACACATTAAAGCTCAGAGGAGACCTAGCAAAAAATGGTTTTAATGGGATAACTAGTGTGGACGTTAAGCTGGATTGAGGGCTAAAAAGGAAGAGGAGAGAGAGAGAGAGATTGGACATTCTTTGAAGAAATCTATCAAGAAAGAGAGAGAGAGAGGAAGGAAGGAAGGATAGATGGATGGATGGATAAATCTGGCTACCAAGAGGAGGAAAGAGATAGAGCCATAACTGGAGGGGAATCAATATGAGAGAAAGGAAGTATATTGGTTTTTGTTTTGCTGTTTGTTTGCTTTGCTTTTGAAAGATGAAACTTGGGGATTTCCAAAATTCATTTAAAAAGAAGAAGAAGAAGAAGAAACAAAGTCAATGGGGCTGGAGGGCATGGATGATTAGAAAAGAGAAGGGATTATACTTATTACCTTAAGGAGGCAGCAGGGAAGGAGTCCCAGTGCACAGCTGCAGGGTTTAACTTTAGGAAGGGGGTGGGCTGACAGCTCTTCATTGTAAAAAGGGAGAAAAGGATAGATTAGGCACAGATAAAGACAAACTTGCATGTGTTTGATGTTAGAAAGTTGAAGGGACTTTCATTTAAGAGCTTCTATTTTCTTTTCTTTTCTTTTTTTTTTTAAAGATTTTATTTATTTGACAGAGAGAGATCACAGGTAGGCAGAGAGGCAAGCAGAGAGAGTGAGAGAGGAGGAAGCAGGCTCTCTGCCAAGCAGAAAGCCCGATGCAGGACTCGATCCCAGGACCCTGAGATCATGACCTGAGCTGAAGGCAGAAGCTTAACCCACTGAGCCACCCAGGTGCCCCGAGAACTTCTATTTTCTATATTAAGTAGGTGAAGTTCAGGCAGGGGCAAGTCAGTGATTGGAAAACCTGTGTAACGACTAATGGGAACGGGTGTCTAAGACAGTGATGGGGCTCAGATTTCACCATCTTGTGAAGGTAACAAGTTAGCTGACCATGGCTTCATGAATACTGGAAGAAAACACAAGACTCCTGGATCATAGCCACAGGGTGGTATCACTCACAGGATAGGAAGCCGACTAAGTGAGCATCAGCTCCCCTCACCCCCAAGTCAAGCAGGGTGGTGTAAATGGGCTCAGATGGATGCCTGCACCTATGGTGGGTTGCATTCCAGAAAAGAAATACTGAGTTTAGGGATCCAAATCTTTTATAAGGGACAGAAAGCATGCTTATCATTTGCTCTAGAGGGAAATACTATCTTTATATTTCCATGGCAGTAAGTGTACCTGCCATTTGTTCCAGAGGGAGATACTATTTCTATCTTTCAAGGCCATTCACTATAGAAACATTCCTGAGAAGATAGCTGAGAACAAAGGGCCATCAGTGCCTCTGATGACAAGATGTACAGAGATGTGAGAGATATATGGAGAACTGTCTTCCAACAAAGGAAATGTCCAGTAGGCCATCCCAGCTGATATTGGTTATCTCAACATTTGAGTTATCAAACTCATTATTGCTCCCTTCAAATACCCTTACTTGTACAGGAGAATGATAATTAATTAATTTATTTTTTAAGAATGATAATTAGATAGTGATTTTTAAATGACCAGAAAAACCTCTCCAAGAGGACACTGATCCTCCAACATTTCTTGAACATTATGATTAAAATAAGTAAGAGTCTAACCAACTGAGCTGACTTCCAACTCATACTTAGCTCTCTCTCTTTTTTTAAATTGGGGAATTTTCTAAATGTATGTTTCAAATCTAGATCCCTGCTAGACTAAACCGTGGTCTTTGGGCCACCAGCACTGGTCTCGCATGGAAGCTTGTCAGGAATTGCTGAATTTCAGACCCCATCCCAGGTCTATTGTATCATCATCTGGATTTTTAACAAGATCTCCAGAATACTTGTAGACACATTAAAATTCCCAAAAAGAACTGATTTAGTTCTAGAGCAGGGAGAGGCAAACTTTTTCTGAATAGGGCCAAATAACAATTATTTCAGGGTTTGCTGGCCAGACAGCTCTGTTGCAATTACTCAACTGTGGGTGCCTGGCTGGCTCAGTGGGTTAAAGCCTCTGCCTTCAGCTCAGGTCATGATCCCAGGGTCCTGGGATCAAGCCCCACATCGGGCTCTCTGCTCAGCAGGAAGCCTGCTTCCCTTTCCTCTTTCTCTCTGCCAGACTCTCAGCCTACTTGTGATCTCTGTCAAATAAATAAATAACATCTTTAAAAAACAAACAAACAAACAAACAAACAATCACTCAACTGTGTTACTGTAGCTGAAAAGCAACCGAAGTCAATAAGGAAACAAATGCGCATGGTCAAATTTGGCCCAAGGGCTGTAGTTTGGACCCCTGCTCTAAGGTGTTGTTTTGGATTAGCAGTTATATTTTAAAAAGAAATGCAAACGTGTAATAAATTTTTACTTTTAAGAACTTGGGTTTTTGGTGGACCCACACTGGCTTCCAAATATCACAGCATGTTCCTTTGTAACTGCTTATACCACACTATTTAATTACCCTTACTTCAATTTTTCTCCAGACTGAAAACAAAATGACCAGTTAGTAGTGTGTAAAATCTACTTTCTTCCCCTTTTTGATATTTGCAGTGACATTTGCACATGCCCAGCTGCTGATTCTACTCCTTTTCTTTATGATTTGTCAAAGATAGCAATTCAGCAATCTCAAATGTTAGTTTTCTCAGGACTCTATGAAGTAATTTGTCTGGGTCAGAAGACAGAGTCTGCTAATCTTGGGCCTACTTTCCTTTTGCCAATATTTACTTTACCGTTTCTAATCTGAAGATGATTCTCTTTGCCAAAGAAGATGGAAGCAAATGGAAGGGCCAGGGAGTGGGGAGTGGTGTGTGTGTGTGTGTGTGTGTGTGTGTGTGTGTGTGTGTGTGTGTGAATGAACAGCAGGATGCTGGATAGTGGGCAGAATGTGTGGAGTTTAGAGTCGGGACATCCAGAGCTGTATGGGAAAAAGGATAAACACAAGAACACAAAAGGGAAAGAACATGTACATTGCTAATTAGAATATGGTGATATATGTTAAGGCTGAAAAAACAGTGTTCAAATTCACAATTTTTCTTTTTACCCTTTAAGTGAAAAAGTAAATCTTCTTTTCTGACTATGTAAACTCGTGGATCTGTATTAAAACTATTAACTTTGCTTTTTCTATCTAGATTAAGAGGGATAAGGACAATCTGAAATTCAACTAAAGCCTAAAGTGAGATGGATGTGGAAATTTTCTGTATTTTTCAAGAATCTTTCATGTAAATGTCTTCTTAAGTTTTCAGATTTAACATGCAATAAGTAATTTTCCAAAGGAGCCTCTTAAAAATGCTTTTCTGTAGAGTATATATTGGACCAAAGAGGCAGCAAAAGGAAACTAAGTCAAAGTTACTTTTTGATGACACGAGCTTTCAAGGCTGAGCAAGGATTTGTCAAGGTTCAATTTGGCCTGCAAGGCCTCCACTGTGGTCACATGGCTGCAATCTGGTGTGTCGTGGTGGTTTTCTTTTCCCTGGGAATACATGTAACAGCCTATGAAAGATCATTAGCAGCACAACAAATATTATATAGAAGAAGCACAACTCTCTTAAAATGCCAAGAGGATGGTCCCACATTATGCAATGGTCAGCCAAAGTGTCTGAATCTTATACACAGGAGCTGGTAGTTTCAGTGATACCAAATACGGGCTTCACAACAATAGTCAACATTTATTAATGGACACTATGTACCAGGAACTGTGCTATGTGCTTCACAAACATTATTTAATTTTAAATTCCAATAATAAATTGATTATCCCAATTTTATAGGTGAGAAAAGAGAAGCTTATAGAGACTATGGCTAGGCTGTTGGAAGTACCAGGAGGCAGAACTCCAACCAAAGAAATAAAAATAAAGGTTGAGAGGTCAAGAGATGGTCCAAAGGGAAGAAAAGTTGTTAGAAAGAAAAAAAAAAAAAGAGAGAGCAAAGAAGGAAGTAGGAAATGTAAAAAGGTATTCAGAAAATGGATTGTAGGAAACCAACATAAAATATGTAATATAAATTAAAAA